ATAGGATTTATCTAGAGAGAAAAAATCAATTACCAGTTTTAAAAAGATTCTAAGCACCTATTAATTTGATAAATAGAATCCTAATTATTGATTTTAAAATCGATGGTATAGATTTATCTAACATGATAAATAATGTTACCCTTAACTTCAAAGGAACCATTACATAGATATTCTAATCTAGAGAAATTATTATTAAATACTCCCATCTTTGTGTTTATACTTCTTTACTTACATAAAAATAAAATCATCATAAATGGGCCCTAAGTAGACATACGTAAATTTCTCCACTGTATCAAGTAATTTATAAATTAGCTTTTATAATCTTGAAAAAAGATAATTAGTTATTTTTTAAAATTAATTATTCAATTTTTTTTTGTTTATTTTACTTGGACACCATTCGACCAAAATAGTGCAAATTAGGGTTTTTAATACTTTTATTTATTTGATGTTTGATTCTTATTAAAGTGTAATTAGATGATTTAGCATGAGAAATTATATTAAGATTGAAAAATCCACTTAATTTAAGCTAGGTGTGAATTCGGCCTAAAGTAAGAAATTAGGGCTTTTGGTATTTGAGTGTGTTAATATTGTAATTGATTGGTTTTGCCAAATATGATGTGGTATGATGCACCATGCTAAATGTTTCATTGTTTGGAATTATGATGAGTTGGAAAGTAATAATGTTTATGTGCATTTTTATATTATTGTGGTATGCAATTTCATTGTATAAATGCACATCATTTATGGCATACATTTTAATCAATCATGAGATTATGCATTTACATTAAAATGCATATGCATGCCAAGGTTATGGAAAAGCTTAAAATCATGAAAAGATTTTCTTCATGATTTTTTTCAAAGGCAAAGGAAAGGATTTCATGGTTCATGGCTTTCATGGTTTTCATGGGTCGAGTATGTGTAAATGTGCATATTTAGACGCTCGACAAGACCGAGCATGTGTAGATGTGTACATTCGGATGCTCAAGACTTGGACATATGCAAATGAGTACATTTAGATGCTCGATAGAAGAATGGGTATGTATAGACGTGTACATTTAGACATTCGACAAAGCGCGTCCAAGTACGGAAAAAATTTTTCGGAAAGATCATGGAAAATATTTTATGGCATGAAAAAGATTTTAGAAAAGACATGAAAATGATTTTCATGTGCATTTCACTTGTATACATCCATATCATACATGATTAACTTACCGAGTAATCGCTTGTCGAGTTCTTGTGATGTAGGGACCAAAGGTAAAACAGATGACAATGTTCTTTGTCGAGTTGATTATTGAAGGATCACTCAAATCGATTCGTTGAGTATATCTTACCTATGGATGTAAGCTGGACCTACTCCACGTTATCGAGATCTTAGAACTCGGTATTTTGGTGTATGTTTTAGGTATGACCATATTATTTTATATGGTAGTAAAAGTTATGAATATGTAAATGGTTAGTCGAAGAAAATAAAAAATAGACTTGTAAATAAATAAATTACTTTTTGTAGTAGGGTGGTATTAGATAGATGGTCATGTAAAAAGGAAAATAGGTTGTATGTCAACCAATTTTGAACATGTAAAATATGTAATAGCATAGTAACGTGTAGTTGTAGTTTTATTTAGTTTATTCTTGCATACGACTGTTCGATAATAATGATATAAGTAATTAAATTATTAAAAGATAATAATTAATGAAGTAAAAAGGTTAGGTGACCGAATAACGGGTATCGACTAAATAATTTTATTCTTATTAATAGAAAAAAAATTTGACAAAATCGAAAGATATGAATCCAATCATTTCAGTCCAAATTTTTAGAATAAAATGTTAAAATAGAAAAATAAAATTAATAGTGCATTTTGGGCTTAAATTTGCAAGGTAGTTGGACTTATAGATTATTTGATAGACTTCGCAGTATAAATCATACCTAATAACACCATAAGAAGGATAGAGTGCCTTGTATCTTATATTCATTGTGATATACGATGGTAATATTTTCAACCTATCTAGGTCTTAGGTCGGGGTGTTACATCTCTTGCTAAGCAACGTTGCCTTTGCCCTATATAATTTGATGAATATCCATATAATTAAAATTTATGGTCTAGATTTATCTAACATGATAAATTATGTTACCCTTAACTTTAAAGGAACCGTTATATACATATTCTAATCTAGAGAAATTATTATTAAATATTCCCATCTTTGTGTTTATACTTCCTTACTTATATAAAAATAAAATCCAACATAATAACTATAGCATTAATTATAAATATATATCATGGTAAAATTGTAATGGGCCCTAGGCCTTACGTAGACATGCGTAAATTCCTCCACTGTATCAAGTAATTTATAAATTAGCTTTTATAATCTTGAAAAAAGATAATTAGTTATTTTTTAAAATTAATTATTCAATTTTTTTTGTTTATTTTACTTGGACACCATTCGACCAAAATAGTGCAAATTAGGGTTTTTAGTACTTTTATTTATTTGATGTTTGATTCTTATTAAAGTGTAATTAGATGATTTAGCATGAGAAATTATATTAAGATTGAAAAATCCACTTAATTTAAGCTAGGTGTGAATTCGGCCTAAAGTAAGAAATTAGGGCTTTTGGTATTTGAGTGTGTTAATATTGTAATTGATTGGTTTTGCCAAATATGATGTGGTATGATGCACCATGCTAAATGTTTCATTGTTTGGAATTATGATGAGTTGGAAAGTAATAATGTTTATGTGCATTTTTATATTATTGTGGTATGCAATTTCATTGTATAAATGCACATCATTTATGGCATACATTTTAATCAATCATGAGATTATGCATTTACATTAAAATGCATATGCATGCCAAGGTTATGGAAAAGCTTAAAATCATGAAAAGATTTTCTTCATGATTTTTTCAAAGGCAAAGGAAAGGATTTCATGGTTCATGGCTTTCATGGTTTTCATGGGTCGAGTATGTGTAAATGTGCATATTTAGACGCTCGACAAGACCGAGCATGTGCGGATGTGTACATTCGGATGCTCGGCACTTGGACATATGCAAACGAGTACATTTAGATGCTCGATAGAAGAATGGGTATGTATAGACGTGTACATTTAGACATTCGACAAAGCGCGTCCAAGTACGTAAAAAAATTTTCGGAAAGATCATGGAAAATATTTTATGGCATGAAAAAGATTTTAGAAAAGACATGAAAATGATTTTCATGTGCATTTCACTTGTATACATCCATATCATACATGATTAACTTACTAAGTAATCGCTTGTCGAGTTCTTGTGATGTAGGGACCAAAGGTAAAATAGATGACAATGTTCTTTGTCGAGTTGATTATTGAAGGATCACTCAAATCGATTCGTTGAGTATATCTTACCTGTGGATGTAAGCTGGACCTACTCCACGTTATCGAGATCTTAGAACTCGGTATTTTAGTGTATGTTTTAGGTATGACCATATTATTTTATATGATAGTAAAAGTTATGAATATGTAAATGGTTAGTCGAAGAAAATAAAAAATAGACTTGTAAATAAATAAATTACTTTTTGTAGTAGGGTGGTATTAGATAGATGGTCATGTAAAAAGGAAAATAGGTTGTATGTCAACCAATTTTGAACATGTAAAATATGTAATAGCATAGTAACGTGTAGTTGTAGTTTTATTTAGTTTATTCTTGCATATTACTATTCGATAATAATGATATAAGTAATTAAATTATTAAAAGATAATAATTAATGAAGTAAAAAGGTTAGGTGACCGAATAACGGGTATCGACTAAATAATTTTATTCTTATTAATAGAAAAAAAATTGACAAAATTGAAAGATATGAATCCAATCATTTCAGTCCAAATTTTTAGAATAAAATGTTAAAATAGAAAAATAAAATTAATAGTGCATTTTGGGCTTAAATTTGTAAGGTAGTTGGACTTATAGATTATTTGATAGACTTTTGCAGTATAAATCATACCTAATAACACTATAAGAAGGATATAGTGCCTTGTATCTTATATTCATTGTAATATACGATGGTAATATTTTCAACCTATCTAGGTCCTAGGTCGGGGTGTTACATCTCTTGTTAAGCAACGTTGCCTTTGCCCTGTATAATTTGATGAATATATAATTAAAATCGATGGTCTAGATTTATCTAACATGATAAATTATGTTACCCTTAACTTTAAAGGAACCGTTATATACATATTCTAATCTAGAGAAATTATTATTAAATATTCCCATCTTTGTGTTTATACTTCTTTACTTACATAAAAATAAAATCCAACATAATAACTATAGCATTAATTATAAATATATATCATGGTAAAATTGTAATGGGCCCTAGGCCCTACGTAGACATGTGTAAATTCCTCCACTGTATCAAGTATATTATAAATTAGCTTTTATAGTTATGAAAAATGATAATTAGTTATTTTTAAAATTAATTATTCAATTTTTTTTGGTTTACCTTATGTTACTTTAATTTGTTTTTTTCTTAGAAAAAAAAAACACAGATATTATTTTACGATTAAGGAAATAGATTTTTTAAAACAAAATGATATTAAATTAAATATAATCAATATTATTTAAATAATTAAATAATATTTATTTTTTTTAAAGGACCAGTTAATTCGTTTTTGAAAAATATGGAGACTAATTTATAATTTACTCCCATCGTATCCATAGTTCTTCCTTCGTTAAGCCAAAAAGTGCCACGTGTTTGTACAAAGTAAAATCACACTCCTATCTCTCTCCGCATCCCAACAATTTTGAGAGCTTTCAAGAAGTCTCCACAGACTACAGTACCGCTCTCTCCCTAACTGTGTTCTGTCTTTAAAGATATAACGCAAGTACAACCTATGATACATACCATACAAGAATCCTCTTCCTCCTTTTTTCTTTCTGTGTCTTCTCCACTCTAACACTTAAAGTCCTTCTCTTTCACTTTAATTCCTTCTTACTCTTCTCCTTTTGTCAATCCCGAAATTCTCTTTTCGTGCTCAGGCGAATGGCAACGACGGCTTCAGCGGCGTCGTTTACCGGAGTGAGTTTGTGTCCTTCTTCACATTCATCTTCTATCAGGAATACTTTGTTGCCGCAAAAGTCTCTTATAAGCTTTTATGGGAAGCGGAATTCTTTCAAGTCGCTTGAGTTGAAGAGAAATTGTGCCCTTTCGAGAGGTTTTCAGAGGATTTCCACAAGGAACAAACCTTCTTCCTTTGTTGTTATATGTGAAACTTCCAGTGGAAGGGTAAGTTAACTAAAGCAGTGATGCCATTTTTTTTTTTTTTTAAATTTGAAATTATGTTCAACTAGAGCTTGAGTGATGAGTTTGGGAGATTTTGCCAGATTACACAGCAAGAGTTTACGGACATGGCATGGCAAGGAATTGTATCTTCTCCAGATGTGGCGAAAGAGAACAAGCATCAGATAGTGGAGACTGAGCATTTGATGAAAGCCCTCTTGGAACAAAAGAATGGCCTTGCTCGCCGTATCTTTTCCAAGATTGGGGTTGATAATACTCGGCTTCTAGAAGCCACCGACAAATTTATCCAACGCCAACCCAAGGTAATTCTTAAATGTACTTGTTTAAGTAAAGATTTTGGCATCGTTCACCAAGATGGAAGCCGGAATGCAATTTAGTTATCTAATCACTGGACACCTGAATATCAAAAGTTTCTTAGCAATGCGTCTTTTAGGTGGCCAGTCTGTCAATGCAGTATAAGGCATTGATTAGATGTCTTGGTAATCGAACTATTAGTAACTCAGTGTTAAATTCATGAACATGTGTTTGGGCACTGGAAAAATGGGTTGACACATCTTCCAATCTATTAATGGACCCTCATTTGAAGCTAAAACATGAAATTGAGAAGCAGCTTATGTTACATAGATAGCACTGTAATGAACTAAACGAGTTAGTTAGCACAATAAAAGTTAGTTTTTGAGATCATGTGGATGTTCCATCATATGCTATGTTGATCGATTTAATAAATTTATAATTTGACAAGTTTGAGATTTCATGTCAGGAGTGTTTATGATGACCACATTATCATTTTGTCTCTCTTTATCTAATTATGCTAGGTTCTTGGCGAATCTGCTGGTTCAATGTTGGGACGTGACTTGGAGGCCCTGATCCAGCGAGCCAGGGAATACAAGAAAGAGTATGGAGATTCATTTATTTCTGTTGAGCATTTGGTTCTTGGATTTGCTCAGGATCAACGATTTGGGAAGCAATTATTTAAGGATTTCCAAATATCACTACAAACTCTGAAATCTGCAATAGAATCCATAAGGGGACGCCAGTCAGTTATAGACCAAGGTTGAATACTCTCCTTGTGAGCTTTTTGTTTGTGCGTCAGTGTTTTCTTTTTCTTTTCTTTTTTTTTTTTTTTTTTGGGGTGGGGGGTTGTTGTGGGGATTGAACTGTGAAAGCATTCAAGTTGTTTTAATGGCACAAGATGTTGGTGCCAGGGGCAAGGAACTAGTTAATCATCCGGGTTGAAGTAATGTTCCTGGGACAAGGAAGCATTTCCATTTCTTCAATATGATAGACGGTTGCCAATAAAATTTTGTTTTTCTTGCGTCTCTGTCTTTAATAGTTTTTCTTTTTTATTTGTCTCATTGCTTAAAATTCTGGATGAAGCATGTCTGAAATGTTTTATTTTGTTACAGATCCCGAAGGGAAGTATGAAGCATTGGAGAAGTATGGAAAAGACTTGACAGCCATGGCAAAAGCAGGAAAACTTGACCCAGTTATTGGAAGGGATGATGAAATCCGTAGATGCATCCAGATTCTCTCCAGGAGAACAAAAAACAATCCTGTGCTTATTGGCGAACCAGGTGTGGGGAAAACTGCAATTTCTGAAGGGTAAGCATTTAAGTGCTTGCTTCTTCATAGAGGCAATATCATTAGAGTAGGATCAACCATGATGCTGGATATTTATGATAAATTGGATTCTTGATCTGACCAGTTTCTGGCTTATTTCAAACCAGCAATTGGCTTTATAAGTTAGCATCACTGAACTTTTTCTGACTTTCAGCTTAAACAAACATGCTCAATGTTATTCTCACTATATTAATTGTACCGTAGAACATTTTAAGATGGTGAAAATAGAACTCATGCATGTGCCAAGTCCCAAATCCCAAATCCCAAATCCCAAGTGCAGGGACCAGCACACTCCTGGCGTGCTTGTTTTATGGTACTGGTTTGAGCTTCTGGATGCAGTGGGAATTATGTAAAGGGGTTGGTTAAATAATTTTTGTTGAGTTTGACTACCTATACTAGGTTCGCTTGACATCTTGGTGGTCTACTTCTAGACTCTGTAGATTACTCTGACTGTACTTTTGGACAGCCTTGCCCAGAGAATTGTGGAAGGTGATGTACCTCAAGCTTTGATGAACAGGAAGGTGCGTTCTTTATGCACATCTTAAGTTTCACTCGCTGGAACTGTTCTTTTTTTCCCTCTTTCATGTTGATTAGAGGTGGGGCTGCGTTGTCCATAACCTGCCATTACTGTTTTAAACCGGTAATGATTTTGTTAGCCGTTGATTTACAGCTAATATCCCTTGACATGGGTTCACTCATTGCTGGGGCGAAATATCGAGGAGAATTTGAGGATAGATTGAAGGCTGTACTTAAGGAAGTGACAGATTCGGATGGTCAGATTATCCTTTTCATTGATGAGATTCACACAGTGGTTGGTGCTGGTAAGCTGCATATTAGATATCTTTACTATTTATCCTTTTCTTTTGAGCTCTTAAGCCTTTATGGAATTCTCTCTAATTAGAACTAATGTAATTCTTTGCCATTGCTTGGTGATGCATACCTGGAATTTGGATGAAGTTAGATTGGAAGCAGTTGATTCTTAATATAATAGAGAATTTGAATGTGGTCCAGACCTCTAGTAGCTGTCCTAATGTGTGAAATGATTTTTGTTAATGAACTGTTAATAGTACATCGGATAGCAATAAAGATCTGCTAATACTTGTATCAGGTGCCACAAATGGGGCGATGGATGCAGGAAATCTCTTGAAGCCTATGCTTGGCAGGGGAGAGTTGCGTTGTATTGGTGCAACAACACTGGATGAGTATCGTAAGTATATTGAGAAAGATCCTGCTTTGGAGCGTCGTTTCCAGCAAGTCTATGTTGATCAACCTACAGTAGAAGATACAATATCTATACTCCGGGGACTGCGTGAAAGATATGAGCTGCATCATGGAGTCCGTATTTCTGACGGTGCACTTGTGGAAGCTGCAATTCTGTCTGATCGTTACATCAGTGGAAGATTTTTACCTGACAAAGGTAAAACTGATGCACATAGATATACAGTGTGACAATTCTCTACCTGTGTCATTCTCCCAAAATTCTGCTTGCAGCTAATGGCCAAAATTAAATCTCTCGATCATATGCTAAATTGATATAGAGGAGAGATCAACTGTGCATAAAATTTGTATAAAGTTCTATATTTGGTTCACTTTTAGGAAAGCATAAATTTGTGAGGTTTGCATGTATGTATATGTAGCTGCACATGCTCCTACAATACTGAAGTGTCTGCACAGTTTGTTTATAAGAACTACAAGCTTCACAAAGTGCTCGTATTTTCAAATTGCAGCTATTGATCTAGTTGATGAAGCAGCTGCAAAACTGAAAATGGAAATTACTTCAAAGCCTACTGCCCTTGATGAAATCAATAGGTCAGTATTAAAGCTGGAAATGGAGAGGTTGTCTCTTACAAATGACACAGATAAAGCTTCGAAAGATAGGTTGAGCCGCCTTGATGCTGAGTTATCACTGTTAAAAAAGAAACAAGCTGAGCTGACGGAGCAATGGGAGCACGAGAAGTCTGTCATGACACGTATTCAATCAATTAAGGAAGAGGTATTATTTTACCTTGACTATCCGTCAGAAGTTAAACTCTCTTGAGCATATATTAAATAACTCAGTGTGGGGACAGTTCTGTTGCACACTGCCACTCTTACAAGTTTTGAAAGGACAAACTTAATGAAGTTATGAGTGTGACTTCCAATTTAATTTAAGTATTATCAAAACAAATTTGTCAAAAATCATTTAGAAAAAACAATAAAATGCATATTAATGCAACAATTTCAAAACTCATATTTGTTCTTTACTTTATACAGATTGACAGGGTAAATGTTGAGATTCAGCAGGCTGAGCGAGAGTATGATCTAAATCGTGCTGCTGAATTGAAGTACGGGAGCCTGAACTCTTTGCAACGCCAACTTGAAAGTGCTGAAAAGGAGTTGGATGAGTACATGAAGTCAGGAAAGTCCATGCTGAGAGAAGAAGTTACAGGTGATGACATTGCTGAAATTGTTAGTAAGTGGACTGGCATCCCTGTTTCCAAGCTTAAACAATCTGAGAGGGAGAAGCTATTACATTTGGAAGATGAGCTGCATAAACGTGTTGTGGGTCAGGACCCTGCAGTGAAAGCAGTAGCTGAGGCCATTCAGCGATCTCGTGCTGGTCTCTCAGATCCTCGCCGTCCAATTGCTAGTTTCATGTTCATGGGTCCCACTGGTGTTGGGAAAACAGAACTAGCTAAAGCCCTAGCTTCCTACATGTTCAACACTGAAGAAGCCCTTGTACGAATTGATATGAGCGAGTACATGGAAAAGCATGCGGTTTCACGATTAGTAGGTGCCCCACCTGGTTATGTAGGGTACGAGGAAGGGGGGCAATTGACAGAGACAGTTCGCAGGAGGCCATATGCAGTGATTCTTTTTGATGAGATAGAAAAAGCTCATTCTGATGTGTTTAATATCTTCCTTCAGATTTTGGATGATGGTAGGGTGACTGATTCACAAGGTCGCACTGTCAGTTTCACAAATACTGTCATCATTATGACTTCAAATGTGGGTTCACAGTATATACTCGACACTGATGATGACTTGCCAAAGGAGGTAGCTTATGAAACTATTAAGGGGAGGGTAATGGATGCTGCTAGGTCAGTCTTTCGGCCTGAGTTCATGAACAGGGTTGATGAGTACATAGTTTTCCAGCCTCTGGATCGGGACCAGATAAACAGTATTGTCAGGTTACAGGTATGTCATATTGTTTGTTTGTATTGGGAATTATTATTCTTTAGTGAATCTCTTTGCAATGTGTTATAAATTATTATTATTAGATAAACATGGTTAGAGCTTGTTTGGTTTCATTCTGGATCTTACTGTGCAAATTGATAATGGTGTTTTGCATCCTAGTTGTTAACTGCAATGCAAGATGTTCCAAGATTTGCTGGATCTTTTGTAATCCTGAATGGAGACTCATGGGAAATGACCTCTTTCTTTGTTAATCATGGAGGAATTTAATTTAAATTCCAATGTTAACCTCTTAATGCTTCTACTGAATGTAGCATATTCCATGATGATCCAGTTTTTGTGCATTTTCCTGATTGTGCATGCTTGCATTTCAGCTTGGACGCGTCCAGCAAAGGCTTGCAGACCGGAAGATTAAAGTATTGGTTACCGGTGCAGCTGTAGAGCTTCTAGGGACTCTTGGGTACGATCCCAACTATGGTGCTAGGCCAGTCAAAAGGGTGATTCAGCAGTATGTGGAAAATGAACTTGCGAAGGGTATCTTGAGAGGGGAATTTAAAGATGAGGATTCTATCTCAGTAGACACAGAGGTTACAGCATTTGCTAATGGTCAGCTCCCCCAGCAAAAGCTAGTTTTCAAGCGTCTTGAAACTAGTGAAGATAAAGCAGCTGCAGAAAGTTTAGCTTTTTCAGAGAGACTCTGATTTTTTTGCCTTCAACTATAGGATTCTTAGCTCATGCCAAATGAGCTTTCCGACTTGTATAATGTTTTCCTTATAAATTACAGGCTTTGAGGTATACGCTCTGTTGTTGTAAGGTTTATATATCCTGCCTTGGCTTTCCAACCATTTTATATGCCTTTGTGGTTGGTAAAGTTCGGGGTGCTCCTGCTTTCTTGAAGTCTTAACTATTCTTATGTGCACAAGAGAGCGACATGCTAATTAGTTTCATAGACCGGAATCGTTATGCATACTCCAGTGAAACAAGTGTATTTGTTTTTAATATTTCTTTTGAAATAAGCTGTATGCAATATGCATTGTTTGCGCAGTGTTGTGGACTGGACGAAACAAGAAAGGGGGTGCAAGTTTGTTGTACTAAAATTTTTGGTCCAATAAACTTGTTACACCAGAATTTGATTGAGCCTGACAACGTAATTACAAATTTATAGGCTATTAAAGGCTGCTAGTGTGTCTGAGGCCAAGTTTATAAAACAAGTTCATTTAGAGAGGAAGCTCAATAGGGCTCTATACTTGAAAGACAGAAAGAATTAATATAATTGTAAATAGAATTTCATCATGAGCAAAGAATGTGAGAATCAAGTCCTATTCAGAAAAAAAAACTAATAAGATAAAGTAATTGATTCAAATGACTGGAACATAAGCTAGAAATAAAAGAACTGAGAATGTTGCAATGAATTAATGAGAATACTAGAAGATGTAGAGATTGCAACTTAAAGCGAACATGGAGCATTACCGCCCAAGGAAGAAATTTATGAGGAATTGCAACTCAAGAGCATGATCAATAAAGAAGAACATAGAAGGATGCCAAGGCTATCCATATCAGTTACAATAAAGAAAAAAGACACAACAAACACAATACAACAACAATATTCTTCTAAATTATCAATATTATCTCTCAAATCTTTTCAACACTTGATACATATAAGCTATAGTATGTAACCAATAATAGTATGTTGATAGTTCATATCTAATTCGATTGTCACTTTTATTGTAACAAATGTAGATTTCGTCTCTTGATATTTGAACACATGTAGATTTTCTCTCTTGATCTTTGAAGATCAAATTGGTGTTTTTTCATTAGTTCTTATGTCTAAGTTTTTATATTTTTAGAATTTTTATCGTTTGTAAAGAACTTCCATTTTAGTATCAATCAATTTTGAGTTTTTGTTCAACTTTGCATTCTGTAATTTACATATTTGTTGTCAATTTTAGATTAATTGATTATTGTTGATTGCATAACTCGGTTAAATATTAGTTTTTAGTTACTATAGTTCACATACATTTGCATCCCAATCTTGCAATCTAGATGTTACGGGAAGCTCGGAACCTCTTCTAAAGGATTCTTAGGTCATTTCATTTCGGTATAAGTAGTAGTTATTTTTCATTGAAGCATTTAAATACCTTTAGGATCAACAATAGGATAGCACTAATAAATAATTTTAGAGTCTGTCTAATTTAGAATCCGGAAGATACCTTATAGACTATCTTCCAACCATCTTATAAATTTTTTTATTTCAAAATCGTCTTAGTTAAGACCGGTATAAAAGAATCCGCAATAGTTTTTTCGGCGACCATAATGGGAGTGCTATTTTAGATGGCACCTAGAAAATCAAACGAGTCCCATCTACGTGGGATGAGGGTGAAGAAACTCACCTTTCTTAATGTAACAACTATTACACAAGAAGGCGGTTTAGGGTCAACTACACCTAATGATGAGCCCGTCATGATGAAAGTGGAATAAAAACAAAATCTATTGGAAGAAAGATTCAAAGAGGCTCGTATAGAGATAAACATCAAATATAAAGCTATAGCTCGGTAAATAGAAGAGTAGTACAAGCTAAAAAATGAAAGCTATAGAAAATCACTACAAAGAATTGATGATTGCCATTGATAAGACAACTTACATCCTTGTAGAATCAAATATAAAAAAAAGGTAAAAAAAATTTCTTTAAAATCGGGCATGACTTAGATACTCTTCCTATCCTAGAAAGGAAAGCTCATTTAGGCTTTAATCAAACTCTCATAGATGTTAGTAATCATTTAGAGTCAAAAATTAAGAAAAGCGCCGATAATGTCATTAGTAATTTCAACCATACCATATCCGAAACGAGTACATAGGATATCCAAGCAAGTGGCTTTGGGAGTAGGAAATCAATTGAAAGAAAGATTACCTAAGAACACTTACCAACCACGGTCTTCTAGAGTCATCCTACCTAGGAGGACTTATAGTGATTCCTATATAAAAAATAGGTAGCTATAGAGAACGATATATCCTCTTTTTGAAACTAGGCAACCTTTTTAGATAACTTAGCGAAAACCCATCACCATAAGTGAAACTAACTATGACAGGAAAACTAGACCACCGACTTGGCAAAAACCTATCATCTTAAGTGAAAGGGAACATATTGGAGAACTTCATAAATCTTTAGAAGAAAGGAATCATATCTATAGAATTTCAAATGAAAGATCTAGAGGGATAAACAACATATAAAGGTGGAGATTCTCACTCAATGACCCTCGATTAGATAACAACCCATGTAGATAGTTCTAGAGTACATATTAAGGATTGTGGAATAGGAATTTGGTCTTGAATTTCAAAAAATTCACAAGCCAACTTATAGTGGCTCGTATCTTTAATACATAGACAAGGAATATCCATAACCATGTAACTTTAGATTTCTTGTTTTCACTTTGTTCACCGGATAGTGAACGAGTCACTGCCTTGGAACATATAGTCGGGTTCATATGCCAATGTACAGAGGTTTCTAACTTTGATATTTAAAGCTTAGGTTTTTTTTCAAACTCCCTAAGAGGAGGTGCATTCTCATGGTATATCAATTTGCCTTCAAATTCCATCCATTCCTAGATAGAAATGCAAGCTACCTTTTAAGCCCATTTTTTAAAAATAAAACCTGAATTAGGATTATTAGACTTATTCAAATATAAAAAATACCTAGGAGAATCTATTAAAGAGTACTTAGATATTTTCATAAAGGCTATGTCCAAATAATGGGCAAAAATCTCTAGAAAAAAAATTAGAGCCATAACTCAATAAAGATTAGAATTTGAGCTTAGAGAGAAATTTAAAGGAATGAAATTTTAACATGTATGAATTAGGTGTATGAGCATCCATACAAAAGTCTACTAAAAGAAGAAAGAGATAGAAAGTTTTTTGTCTATGAAACTTATTGTCAAGAACTTTTTCTATAAGAGGTTGATATGGTGAATTCATCTATAGAACTCCATTAGTATGTGATGCCCTCATCAAGAAAAATACCAAAGTAGTGAAATCATTTAAATCCACTGAAGAGAGGAATTATTCCTTTGACATCAATCAAGCTGATCAAATATTTGATTGGCTTGTAGTTAACAAAAGAGTTACAATCAAAAGAAAACATAAAACTTTTACAAAATAGAAGTAGAATGGAAAACCTTATTGTAAATTGTATAAGGTACTAGGATATGTAACTAGGAATTGCATAGTATTAAAAAATGTTATACAAGATCTTGTAGAGGCTAGAAATTGCAAATTCACAATAAGCATGATCAAATAGAAATAGATAAAGATCTCTTCTTAAATATAAATGCAATAGATGCTCCTAGTATAATAAATATGATTTTTACTACTGATACTTCTATATATTCTAATAATTTGTCGATGGTGATATTTGACATCATATGAGCCAATAAGCAAACTAAATTTCTAAAATTTCCATACGTATATCAATCATAGGAAACTGAACACATATGTTACTAGCACATGATAGATGAATACAACTAATGCATGCTTAACTTTTAAGATATTTTTCACGGGAGATGATCTTAAAGGGAAGTCGATCCCAAATAAGAATGAGTTGTAAGCTCTTAATCTCATGGACTTGTATGAGCCAATAAGAGCTAGGGCTTTTGAAAATCTTGAGCCTTTGATTCCATCAAACCTTCCTAGAGGAGAAATAGTCCAGCAAGCTCCAAAAGCAGATATATTCTTTCACAATCTCAAAACACTCTAGAGAGCCCCGTATAAGGAGTGTGAACTAGTCCTCTCTTATGAATTGACAATTCGGGGTATAAACCTTAAAAAAGGAGAAAAATCAATGGAAAGACCTTGTAGGCACCATGCTCATGAAAATGCCCCAAAAGGAAGTCAATATTCCTTGTCTATTTAGGATTCACTAATTGTTGAGGGAGGTGAGGGTCGTAGATGGACCATTGTCAAGACTAGGCCTTATAAGAAGAAGAGCAAGAAATGGATCCAATAGAAGGTCAAATCAGTAATAAAGGATTGCATAGAGAAGGATCTAATGTAAGAGAGTAACTAGTTTTTAGAAATAAGAAGTTCATAAGAAAAGCAATCGCTTAAAAGGAAAGAAATTAGGACTTTAAGATTGACCAAACCAATAGCAATTTGGTCTTAAATTTGGAGTCGTTTCTAAAGATGAAGATAGTGAAGGTCCTAAAATTCATAAAAAAACTAAAAAAAACCTTTTTACATAAAATTTTCTAAGGAAATAACCTAGTTAATGAAATGGTAGAGGCTTTGCAAGATGAAGTGATTCACGGACAAGTGATTACTCAAGAGAGACATAAGACACGGGGTATAACATATCACTCTATTACCTATAAAATTCCTTCCTCCGTTAGAATGTCATACCTCCATACGAACATCTCCATCGATATTCATCCGATCTAGAAGGTGCAAGAGAAAACCGAAGAATGGGAAGCCATGAATGTTCTCTTACAAAAACCAAAAAAGAGTGCTCATGTGCATCTCAAGCCATTTTACGTAAGAGCTAATATGAATAGGGTACTAATTAATAGAGTCCTGGTAGATCATGTTGTAGTAAATATCCTTCTATTGTACATATTGAACCATATTAACAAAGCGGAAGAGGACCTCATACCTACGAATGTATTAGTCAATAGATTTGTAGGAAATATGTTGGAAGCTAAGGGCATACTACTAG